ACTCTTTACGTTATGTTCATCACTTTGGCCGCAACAATAACACGACGAAATGGGTTTTATTTTTCCTGCTCTGGTGAGCATACAATCAGCGAAAGTTTTAGTGGAGCCCATTGTTATTAAGCTCGTTATAAACAACGTTTTTCCACAGGCGGCGTTCTGAATTATTTCGGCGTTTCAGAATGAAAATTGCATTTTTAATTTGCTCGCTGCCAATTTTAAATCACTATTACCGCGTAGATAACGACCTGGATTTGCCAACGAGTGTTAAGACGAGTTCATTTGGTTTCCATCTAAAGTACGCTCCTGCTTTTTCTAACTCAATCGTTTTGAATTTTCGTGGAACGGAGACAAGCTTGTGGCAGGTAATTAAACACAAAATTTAATAAATTATCTTTTTTAGAATTATTACACCGTTTCATCTGCTTAAACAAACGCTCGTTTATCAAAAGCTGATTAAATATTCAGGACAACAGAAAGAAAATAAAATTCGTTTCGCCGTGTTGTTTTATATGCCTAAGGCCATAAGTCACCCTTTAAAGTTATTTAGTTAAAATGCATCCAACAATCATATTTCATTGTATGTGGCAGATATTACAGCGAGTGTAAACTGTCAGGAAACTATAAATTGAATATTCTTTAGTTTTAGCATTCATAAATAGATAAAAACGTTGGCAAAGTTGAAATGTCGTTATACTTCACAACAGCAACATATTCTAATCAAGTTCTGTCAGAGCTTTTCCCAAGTTTTGTCACACGTGTGAGTGTTATTTATAAAGTTTTATGTGTTTATGTACGTACCTGCAAGTAACCTTTTTAGTATTTTTGTCAAAAATGCATTTTTAACGAACTAACAGAGAAAATTTAAAAATTGTTGCATTCAAAATTAAAAAAGGGATTTTATTAACACTATTTAGAATGGCAATGAGTTGATTTGTTTCTGAAAGAAAATTAAATAAAAACTTTATTGATTAGTAAAAGGTGAAATTAATTATTTAATTATTAAATAACAAGTTTGTTTACATCTTAAATTATATAAATAAAATGTCGTTTCTAATTTCAAACGAAAAGTATCTTTAAATTGAAAATAGTGATTGGAATTATCTGTAAATTATGTTATAACAATTAACAAAGTCGATCCGTATTATTAGAGTTCTTCAAATTTGTTTGTGATTTCAGTGTAATCTTTGTTTTCACTTATCGAGCGTAAGCTAAGGAAGTATTGTAATCGATATATATATGTTATCAATATATAAATACCGATTATTGCCAAAATTTGTATCTATGTTAGATGATAAAACGCCAACCAAAATTTCTCTGCTCATCCCCATTTATAGTGGAATGACGTCGTCTCCAAATTTTATAAGAGTGAATGTTATTTAAATTTTATAAAATAACGTACCCTCCATTTGTGGTTTATGAATACCTATTGATTTTGTACTTTAGGCAACCAGATTTTCGGAAAAAATTGTATAACAACATTTTACAATAATTTAACCTTAAAATTACAAAATCGAATGCTTTGCAATCTTGCAAACATTTTAAGGATATCGGAAATATTGCAAATCGTTCATCAAAATTTATCCGTTTATGCCCGCCATGTTATCTTACAATTTGGTGAAATAAATGTTATTGAAATGTTAAAAAATAACATAGTCTTGAAGTTGTTGTTTATGAATTCCTGTTAAATTTTCATCCTAGATATTGAGTTTTTTCGAAAAAAATCAAAATTGTAGATATAACAATTTTTCGATTTCTCAATTATTCGAATTTTCCATTTCTGGATTTTCTACTTCCGATTTCTCAATTTTTCATGATTTCAATTTTTTGTTGTTCATTTTTTCAATTTCTGGATTTTTCAATTTTTCCATATCTGAATTTTCAAGTTTTAGATTACTCAATTTTTCGATTCTTCAGTGCTGCAATTCTTTATATTTTCAATTTCTCAGTTTTTTCATTTCTTTATTTCTCAATTTTCCGACGTTTCAGTTTTACGGTTTTTAATTTTTGTTTTTTAAATTTTCGATTTTTCGAATTTCGATTTTTCAAGTTTTTCATTTTTCAATTTTTCGATGTTTCGGTTTTGGGATTTTTAAAAATTTTGATTCTCAGTTTTTTGATTTTTCGTTTTTTTGATTATTCGATTTATTGATTTTTTTTAGTTTTAATTTTTTCGAATTTTTGACTTTTCGATTTTGGTCTATTTTGATTCCTTAATTTTTCGATTTTTCGACTTCTCAAATTTTTTATTTCTCGATTTCTCGAACTGTAGATATTTTGATTCCTTAATATTCCGGCTTTAGAATTTTCGATTTCCATTTTTCTATTTTCCAATTTCTCGATGTTCTGATTGTTCAGTTTTTCGATTTCCTATTTTTCGTTATTTCATACATGGAATTTTTTAATTTTGCGATTTTTAATTTTTTGAAAAATAGCATAAAAATTAAATAAACGAAAAACTGAAAAATCACAAAATTGGACGAAAAATCCAAAAATTGGGAAATTAAAAAAATGAACAATTGAAAAATCGAAAAGTCAAAAAAACAAAGTTGAAAAATCGTCAACTTAAAAAATCGAAAAATTGAAGAACTGAAGAACTGAAAAATCGAAACTTTGGGAAGTCGAGAAATGGGAAAATCACAAATATATTAATTGAGAAATCGAAAAACTGAAAATTCGGAAATGTCAAAATTTTAAAAATTAAAACATATTGAAGAACTGAAAAATCGAAAAATCGAAAATTCAAAACATTGAAAAATTAAAATATGGTAAAATTGAAAAATGGAGAAATCGAAATCAGAAATTCAAAAAAACGAAGATTCCAAAATCTAAAATTTAAAAATCGAAAAACTGAAAAATCGACACTAGAAAATTAAAAAAATTGAGAAATTAAAAAATCGAAACTAGAAAATTAAAAAATTGAGAAATTGAAAAATCGGATAATTCAAAAATTAGAAAGCCGATCAACAATCAAAACATCGAAACATCCCAATCTCGATAAATCGAAATTTCAAAAAATTGAAAAATCGAAAATTTAAAAATTAAAAGAGGAACTGAAAATTCGAGAAAAAATTTGAATTTTAAAAATAGAAAAAGTAAAATATCGAAAAGTTGAAAATTTGAGAAATCGAAATATAAAACAGTCGAAAAATTGAAAAATCTCAGGTTTCAGAAGTGAAAAACCGAAAATCCGTAAAATAAAAAATCGAAAAATCCAGAACCTGAAAAATCGAAAAATCGGAGAATCAAAATATTGGAAAATCCTAAAACTGAAAGAGATATCCAAAAAGTAAGAAATTAAAAATTGAAAGACCAAAAAGCAAAGTCGAAAAATCAAAGAACTGAAGAAGTGAAAAATCAAAAATCGAGAAATCGAAAAATGGAAATCAAAAATGGATTAATTGAGAAATTGGAAAACTGAATATTTGACGTCAAAATTTGAAAAATTGAAAAATAGAAATACTGAAGAACTGAAAAATAAAACATCGAGACGTCGAAAAATCTAAAATTTGAAACATTAAACAATTAAAGTAACGCAAAACTGAAAAATGCATCCAAATTATTCCAAACATCAAAAAATCAAAAAATAAAAATTCGAAAATGTAAAATTTAAAAATCGACAAACTGAAAAATCGACAATTCGAGAAATCGAAACTCCAGAATTTAAAAACTTGAAAAATCGGATAACTGAAAAATCGAAACATCGAAAAACTGGGAAATCGAATAATTGAAAAGCCCAGAAGTTAAAAATCGAAAAACCGAGAAATCCAAAAATCGAAACGTGAAAAAAAGTTAAAAAATGAAAAATTGATAAATCGAGAAACTGAACAGTCAAAACATCTAAACATCTGAACTCGATAAATCGAGAAATCAAGAGAAAAATTGAAAAATTTTAAAATAGAAAAATCTGACAAACTGAAAATTTAAAAATTCGGAAACTTGAAAAATAGAAGAACTGAAAATTCGAGAAATCGAAAACTTCGGTGTTTGCTGCTAAAAAATATTAAAGTTTTTCTGTATTTATAATTTTTTTCGAAAAAGAGAAACCTTGGAACGGACTAGGACATCAATAAAATGGGACCAAATATTTGCTCTAAACATAGTTACTGTTTATCCGACTAACACGAGAAGTGTTTGGCATTTTAGTAAATTCAGTAGATTTTAGTTATTCACGTTGAACATTTAATTTAAATGCAATTCGAATTTAATTACATTGCAGTGGTCTGCTTCATCAGCAGAAAGTTTTTTTTTAATGACAGGTGATTATACAGATTCAAACGAAATTTATAAATAGTTTTCGATTCAGGTATTACTAGCATCCTGGTGCTATTCAATTGATTAAAAATAACGTGGAAAGATGGAAGAATGATTAGTGCTTAAGTTTGATCACTTTTTTAGATGAACAGCTGGAAAAAATACAAAAATAATCAAATATTTATACGTAATTTTTCTTCTTTGTACTTACTTTTCTTTGTTGAACTCTTGTCGACTGAACCTGGAGAAATCCATTATAAAAGCGAAGGATAAAAAGCTAGTTTCATATGTGCAGGAAATAATGCTATTTCCTAGCAATGAAACTTGCAAGGATTTTATATTTACCTCTTTGATGCACGGCATTTTCCAATATACTTACTTTAAACCGCTTTTGTAAATTCTGCAAAATTGTGAACAAAGCATTAATTCTAGTTTGACAGTCGCAATCGATCGTTTCATAAGTTTGTAAATCTTCAGGATCAGTTTTGTTTATTAAAGTTCAAATAAAACAAAAATTAAGTAAATTCTACCACACATATTACACACATTTTAGTACTGTGAAACACAAAAAAATTATACCTTGCTTCACACAACAACCTCTTTTCACATCACTTCCTAGTTCCTGTCCAACGCGTTTTAACACGCTTGTTTTCCGCTTTGATTCTCCAGATGTACCCATTTCCCGTTTTTCTCGTTCCAAAACCTACCTCAATAAATTACCGCTTGTCTGCGATTCTATCCGTTTTCAGTTGTGGCGACATGTGGATCGACCATCCGAGAGAACGGAACTTACTTCGTTCAAGGGGGCTATCCGAATCAATACGATGGCACCGGCTCATGTCAGGTTACGCTGGTCAAGTCACATCCGGACGTCTGTCAGTACAGGTAAAAGCCGGGGCAAAAAGTCGCTGTAATTGGCAAAGATCAAACTTCTGAAGTGAAGTGATGCGGAAATGTCAATGCTACGTAGTGAAAGAGAAATGAGTGAAATCGATGCAAATACACTTGGGGGCGAAAGGAATGTTGGGATTGGGAATGGACAGATGTTTAAACAAGCGATAGGCTGAAGGTTTATTGATTTGATCGGTTTAAAGAGGAGATAAATTTGAGTTTTATTTTATGATTTTTCGAGTTTAGTACACGCGAGATGTACTCTTCGAAGAAGGGCATTTGAGTAAATGCGTTTTTTGACTTTTCTATTTTTTTTTTCTGAAACTGAAATTATTTAAACCTTAGATAAATGTTGTCAGTGTTTAATTTTTAAAAGCCGTAATTAGATTTTACATCCAAGCAAATTTTTACAAATTAATTAACTATTACAGCGAGTCCGAAGAGAGCAGGAGTGCAGTTGACACAATTTGTAATAAAGAGAAATTTAGAACTACCTAATTTTCGCTAAGAAACCATTATTTTGTTTTCTTTTAATTACAAATGTTCGCTACTGTTTGGATAAGAGTGCTTCGTTAGCTATCTTTTTGAAGATTTTAATAACTGAAAAGCTCGACCTGTGTCACACACAATCTAATTAAAATATCAACGCGAATCGGATCGGTTTATAAATTTGACGTGATATCACAGTAAACTCCCTTTTTATCAAATCATGTTTTTTAGGACACTCACTTTTCCCACACTTCGTAATGAGATGATTTTCTTTTTTTTGAAAAGCTAAATACATTTTTAATATGTTAAGGTAAACTTCCTTGTTTACAAGAGAGAAGATTCAGTGAATTTCTGATTAATGGTTCTAACCTCCTGATACCGATAATTTTCGGTTTATTGCATTAACATTTTCTTATTTCATATGTATGATGTATTTCCAGGAAAATTAAATGACTATGATTTAAGAGGAAAATTACGAATATAGAAAAAGGGGGGAGGTATAGAAACTAAACGGAATTCATTAAAATTATGCATTCTTTAAGCATGTTATAACAGGTTATGTGCCCAGAGCGCGAATCGCGTGTGTTTAATTTGTGTCGGTGTGCTAGTACATGTGTGAAAAACGTCACGCCTAGCGACGAGTCTATACCCTCATTCAACTCCGGTGGGTCATCTTTTTACTTCCCGAGCGTAAGCAAAGGAAGTATTGTAATCGAGTCCGTCGGCCGACTCTCTACTTTTACGTTTTCTCGATCTTTCATGACTCCTAGAAGACGAAGAAATAGGTCTCCCATTTCCGTCTGTCTGTCCGTCTGTCCGTCTGTCTGCCGTCCCGGATTTTTATTAGACAGATAATCTCCGAAAGTACTGGGCCGATTGTTGTGAAATTTTGTACTTATAATAAGAATATCATCTAGATGGTAAAACGCTAACCAGCATTTGTCTAATCATCCCCACCATTAATGCGATGACGTCACTTCAAAATTGTACATAGTAAATGGGTCTTAAATTGTATAAAATAACATAGTCCTATACATGTCGTCTACGACTCCGAATTGAGTTTTTACCCGAAACGTCCAGATTTTTGGAAAAAAAATCAAAATTATGTAACAACATTTTCCAATTTAATTTTGAATCTGCTAACTGGAATGTTTTGAAATGTTGCAGATGTTTTAAGGCTCTAAAGAGCATCATAAATCTTTAGTCAAAATATATTTGGTTATCTCCTCCAAAAACTTGATGACGTCAGCTCAAAAGTTTGCCGAATAAATCCTATTTAAAATGTACAAAATATGATGCGTCTGTCCTTGTGATATATCACTTCATTCATATTTTTTGGATTTGCATATACAGGGTGGCTCAAAAAAATTAATGAATGCGCAAAATTTATTTTATTGATTTACTCAGGAATTACAAAACCGAATGCTTTAAAATCTTGAAGATGTTTTAAAATTATCATAAGCATGGTAAATTTTTGATTAAAATGTATTTGGTCGTCCCCCCTAAAAAGTTTATGACGTCACCACAAAATTTTGCTGAATAAATCCTATTTAAAATGTACAATATATGGTGAGTCTCTTCTTGTGATTTATCATTCCATTCAAATTTTTTCGATTTGCATATACAGGGTGACTGAAGAAAATTAATGAATGCGTCAATTTATTTTATTGATTTAATCAGGAATTACAGAACCGAATGCTTTGAAATCTTGGAGATGTTTTAAAGTTATCATAAGCATGGTAAATTTTTTATCAAAATGCATTTGCTCTTTTCCCCTAAAAAATTGCTGACGTCACTCCAAAATTTTGCTGAATAAATCCTGTTTAAAATGTACAAAATATGATGCGTCTGTACTTGTGATATATCACTCCATTCATATTTTTTGGATTTGCATATACAGGGTGGCTCAAAAAAATTAATGAATGCGCAAAATTTATTTTATTGATTTACTCAGGAATTACAAAACCGAATGCTTTAAAATCTTGAAGATGTTTTAAAATTATCATAAGCATGGTAAATTTTTGATTAAAATGTATTTGGTCGTCCCCCCTAAAAAGTTTATGACGTCACCACAAAATTTTGCTGAATAAATCCTATTTAAAATGTACAAAATATGGTGAGTCTCTTCTTGTGATTTATCATTCCATTCAAATTTTTTCGATTTGCATATACAGGGTGACTGAAAAAAATTAATGAATGCGTCAATTTATTTTATTGATTTCATCAGGAATTACAGAACCGAATGCTTTGAAATCTTGGAGATGTTTTAAAGTTATCATAAGCATGGTAATTTTTTTATCAAAATGTATTTGCTCTTTCCCCCTAAAAAATTGCTGACGTCACTCCAAAATTTTGCTGAATAAATCCTATCTAAAATGTACAAAATATGATGAGTCTGTACTTGTGATTTATCATTCCAATCATATTTTTTAGATTTTCTTAAGAGGTGGCTCAAAAAAATTAATGAAGTCAATTTATTTTATTGATCAAATTAAAGGCAACACTTATTATTAGTATTACATTGGACCAACCCAATTTGGTAGACACAAAATTTTGTAAAGTAAAAACTCGGTTGAAACATAAGGGTAGCACGCTTATTTAGACCGACTTTAACATTACAGACGTGCATTTGTTTTATGCGCTGACTAGGTTCCGCGAATGTGGAATAGACATGTTTATAATCAACCAATTGTGAATTCCACCGTCAAAAATTAAAATAAAACCCAATATTTTATATAATAAGCGGAAGTCGAATCAATAAAACCGATGGTCGTTTTGTTTACAGTTCCTCTGTTTGACTCTCACGTATGCTGTTACGCTTGTCATCTTAAATTAAGAATGTTTATACATAAACGATTTTCAGTTGCCTCTCATATTACACACCGGCGCCGTATACGTGAGTAAATTGTTTCGTTATTTTATTGATTATAACAAATCAATATTCAAAACGACCCAATTCATTTTCCCGAAAATTTGGGAATACAATAATTTTATTCTTAGTATTACACTACATCTATCCCAACTGATATACTTGTCCTTGCAAAAATGTTGATGACGTCATCGCATTTTTTTTTAATTCCCACTACAAAAATGTAATGAGAAAAAAACACAATAGGCATGCAGTCGTCAAGTTTCCGACAGCGAGGGAAGTACTGTCTAAACTCTTTAGACCAATTTTTTTGATTTTATTAAAGATTATGCTTTAAATTAAAGCATATTTCTTTAAAAAAATGAAAATATTTGGATCTTTTTGTTGGTAATATATTGTAGGCAGCCATGTAAAAACAGTAAAAAAAAAGGATTACTCGTTCGATTACTGGTTTTTAGTGATCGAAATTCGTCAACAGTACACAATTAAAGAAAAAGTAGAAATGGTCAGTGGTGGATACATTAAGGCCTTATCGACAACAGAGTGAAACTGCGCCAAATTTTGCTGCAGCATTACCACATCGCATCGTTCCATACCCGGCAAAAGCACATTTTGAAAATTTTATGACAAAGTTATAAACAACAGATTTTTTCAATCGTGGACATTAAAAACGCAATTTCAGTGAAATTATCTTTTATTTTCTACATTTATGTTTGAATTCCATCATTCTGTTTCTTTTCTAAAAACTGCAATAATAGCTATTTAACGAACAAGTTTGTTAATAAAGGCGATTAAATAATCGAGATATTTTAACGAGCGAGGAACGAGCGCGTTAATGGTCGAGATTATTAATCGCCAATTAACAGTCGAGTTAGTTACAATACTTTTCCGGTGATCGTAATTTTAAAAAAATTACTGAAAATTCAAAATATGAGTTATGCAACCAAACATACAAGTGAAAATTTTTATGAATAAACTTTAGTTGAATATGTCCAAATCATGACGGTTGCATAAAGTGGATCGAAACATAGAATACTTTGGCCACAAGCGTGCTATTGAGCCTTTTTGGGAAATTTCTGAGAAAGATGGAAGTAATACGAATTCCGAATACCTTACAACCAGCTTTCCGGCGCACCAAGCAACAGACTCATCGTAGGTTTTTTGGTAAAGCATTTTGCTTCTTTCTGGAAGTAAATTTAATGACCCCACATTTGCATTTTCTACTTCCGCAAGAGTTAAAGAATCCATGTCTATGCAATTTCCCATTTTGAATCTTGATTTGGGAAATTTTTGACATTCAGAAATATGACATTTCACGAAAGGACGTGTATATCTGGTTGCCTAAAATCATGCATTAAATGCATCATTAATAAACGATCACCGGAAAAGGTATGTAATGATTAAATTAAAATTATGCTGTCAAAAATTACAAGTTAAAATGATAAGTCAAAGCCTTCTATGATGTGTACCAAAATTTTTTAATCAAAATAATTTTTATTTTTGAAATATTAAGAAAAAAAAAAAGAAAAATATAAGCCCCGCCCACCCACCCTATCTCAATTGTGATAATTTTTTTTTTATTCATCGCGAGCCGGGGATGCCCTTAATTGCAATCCTCTTTTTTCTCGAAGACATT